GAGTATTATAGCTTTCATATTGGCCATTAGTAATTTTTTTCTTTTTTAAAATCACCTTTTTATTTTTTAAATCTTCACTAGATGATATGTTTTTTTTATTGATTTTAAAGAGAGAGTAAGAAAGAGGGAGAGAGGAAGAGAGAAAAAGAGAGAAAGAGAAAGAGAAAAACATCAGTGTGAGAAACATAAATTGGTTGCCTCCCGTAAGCATCCTGGCTGGGATCAAACCTGAAACCAGGGTATGTGTCACGAACAGGAATCAAACCCCAAACCTTTCGGTGTTTGGGATGATGCTCCAATCAACTGAGTCACACAGCCAGAGCAGTCATTTTCTTTTGCTAATATCTGGTAATATTTTTGAGATCATAGTGGAATTCTAGATTTGAAAATATGAGTGCAATTTAGGAGACCTGTATTTTGGCCTTCATTGTAGCATTAGTGCTAGAAGATCTTAGATTAAATCATTCACTCTCTTTGGTCTTAAATTTCCTGTTATATATAAAAGGTACTCAGAATGCCCACTCAAATCTTCCTATGATTCCTATGAAAAGCAAATTAATTATCTTTGTGTAAAACAGTGACTGTACCACTATTTTATTAGCAGTATTAATAAGCTCTTTGACACACATTTATAATTATCAGACACATAAAAGTAGGTTCTGTCATTTAACTTTAAATGTCTTTAAGTAATTAAACAGATAATTGACAATTCAGTTCAAACAAAGCAGTAGACTCCATCGTGTATATATGTATGTATATAATATACATATATATGGTATATACGATATAATTATATAACAAATTATACATAAGTTCCACATTTTCTAAATTTTTTATAGTAAGTCAATTTACTAGTGACACGGAATATTTCCTTTCAAGGAAATTTTTGTGTGTGTGCATTATAAAATATTATCAGTGTTTATAATTGTGCATCTAGATCTTTTACCTAGCATGAGGCCATTTTTCTATTTAATTACAAAATCTTCATGAGAAATTTTCAACTGCCTAATGTGTCATCATGGGGATATATTATTATTTACTTAACCATTCCTCTTATCTTAATCACATTATTTTCAATTACTTACTTTATCTGTATCATTTTTTGTATAATTCTACATTTCTGTTTCCTTAGAGTTGATTCTAAGAGGAGCAGTTAAGGGAACAAAAAGTGAAAGCATTTCAAGACTTTAAATATATATTATTAAATTGTGCTAAAATGGACTGTACTAATTTTTAACTTCTATTAAGAATATATAATGAGAGGGCTTAATTTGAGGGTACACAAGCCATCACTGGGCCACATATTTTTTTCTAATTATAAAAGTGATTAATGTTTGTACACAGAACAATAACTTAAAAACACTTTTCCCTCAAGCCCCCAACCACCACCTCTCTCATTCCTTACTATTAACAGTTTGAGAAGTATACTCTCAAACTGTTTTTTTTTTATATATATATTTTATTAATTTTTACAGAGAGGAAGGGAGAGAGATAGAGAGTTAGAAACATCGATGAGAGAGAAACATCGATCAGCTGCCTTTATGGGTATTATTGCTTCTGATGAAGCTAAAAAAATTTAAGTTGATTTAAAAATAATATATATTAAGTAAATAAAAGTGCAAGTAGTATGAAAATATGTCTTAAAAGTCTTGAATGTGATATGAGAATAACTTTAGGAAACTGCCATGGAGGGATAGCTTCTAGAGCTGCCTGCCCCCCACCAGCTCTGTGTTCTTGACCAGATAGGTAAATAGCCCATCAGACCTGTGCTTTTATGGGTATTATTGCTTCTGATGAAGCTAAAAAAATTTAAGTTGATTTAAAAATAATATATATTAAGTAAATAAAAGTGCAAGTAGTATGAAAATATGTCTTAAAAGTCTTGAATGTGATATGAGAATAACTTTAGGAAACTGCCATGGAGGGATAGCTTCTAGAGCTGCCTGCCCCCCACCAGCTCTGTGTTCTTGACCAGGTCACATCCCCTCGCTGGACTTCAATTTGAGTGCAAGTCATAGGCATCTGGAAATCCCAATCTCTCTGCGATAAGGGATGTCTCAACAAATGGGCAGTATTTCAGTTGAGTTTTTTTCTTCTGAATTTTGGTTAATCTATCAAAGTTTATTTAAGCTTGCTCTCTTTCCTAAAAATAAAAAAGTATCTTCTCTAGAAAGAATTTCATGTTCAATTATGAGTTAAGGGAAGACATTGGCTTTAAAATGAAATCCCAAAAATTTTATCTTAAAATATTACGTCTCAATAACTCTATAGGAGAAACAGAAAATTTCAAATTAAGCAGGCTCTTTATTGGCCAAATCCTGTATTGCTTTCGGGTAAGTAAAAAATCTGAAGTTCTATAGCCAAGTGATGAGATATTAAAGTTAGTGGTTCATCTTTGTGTTCCTAGTATTCAGTTATGAGTATGTCCCACTGTCGATGCTAGACAAATAGTCAATGGATGGATGATATGCCACATGAAGGAATGTTCCATATTATAGTAACTAGTCTAATAACAACTGTAAATTCACCTCCCACCGATGGGAGGTTAAAAGAAATTTTTTTAGAACATTGCTATTGAAACATCTTTGGTACCCAAAGGTATATATACAGTGGGGCCTTGACTTACGAGTTTAATTCGTTCCGAGACCGAGCTCGTTAACTCAAATTACTCTATCAACTCAATGCAAAAAATCGGCCGAGAGACAGCTGGTATCTCAAAAAACTCGTTAGTCGGGACACTCGTAAGTCAAGGCCCCACTGTACAAAGATTCATACAGAGTAAGCTTAGTATGTTATTGCAACTTCTCTTCCTTTGAGAATTGTTCAGAATTAGGAATCATCCACCTTTGTCTTCTTTTAGTCACTTCTCCCTAAGATGGACACTAGTCCACTAGTTACATGTTTGAAATGGGTTTATGAGAATATACTGACTTTTTTTGTAAGGGATCAGAAGGTGTGCGAGTGACTTCACTTTCTTGATATTTGCAGGGTCCATAATTATGCAATTTGGAGTTTTCAGAAAAAAAAAGAACCCAAATTCAAAGTCTGAGTAATTTCCAACAAGAGTGAAAAATCTCAAAAATTCAAAATTTTAAAAACATAGTAATAGCTTTGGCCGGTGTGGCTCAATTGGTTAAGCATCATCCTGTGCACCAAGGGTCCTGGGTTCAATTCCCAGTTAGGGCGCATGCCTAGGTTTTGGGTTGGGTCCCTGGTCGGGGTTTGTGTGGAAGGTAACCAACCTATCGATGTTTCCTTCTCTCTCTCTAAAATCAATAAAAACATATTTGAAAAAAACAAAATAACAAATACACTCCAATTGTAAAGACTATATTAAATTGCAAAAAAAACAACAACACAGGAGTTTTATATAGGCAGGAAAATACCAAGTTCAAAAGGTGTGTCACAATATGGTCCAATGTTTAAGAATTAAATAATGAAGACTTCTGAAAAAGACACATTCTCTACTCACCTACTCTTTATTTTCCTAAAATCATCAGCTTGAACAGTTTTCCAGATGGGATTTAGAAAGTGGGATTATAAACTGGATTTTTTTGGGGGGGGGGGTGTATAATTTTCAGGAAGCAAAGCGTTTCCTTTTTTATATGATAGACTCTAAGAATTGAATCAATAACATCGGGACACCTAAACACTCTTGTTTCAGTTTACATTCTTTTTAATATAGCCTCAGGACCTACTCTTTCTTCCCATGATTCCTTCCTGCAGGTGATAGAAGCCGCCTTTCTCTCCATAAACAGTTTTCTTTAAGAGATTTGGGTGTCTTCCTTTCCTAAACCTCTAAAAATCAAAATGATTTATAGACTATCTCTATCCTGCTAGAGTTGGGCAAGTAAGTGGATCATATTTGCATGGGTCACTCTGATTATAGGACTTCACTGTTTCTTGAACTAAAATTTCAAGATTTATTATTCTATTAATGCTCATAAAGTCACTCTTTTGATGAGCCATAATTTCCCTTTATGAGGAGTCTGTATGCCACTCACCCATGATAAGGGAGAAGTAAGTCCAGACTTCCAACATATTCATATTTCCTGGGTCATTAATAGAGTCTTGAAATCCCATATGACTCCAGGGGTTAATGGCCTAGGGTACAGTAACAAAGGTAAATTTCACCCAGTCTACTTGTCCCCATGAGACTTCCCTCACCTTGTTGGCTGTGTACAAAAATCTAAGCTTTTCCATTTTAATTTTAAAATTTAGAAATTAACCCTCCTGGTGGAGAAGATAACCCACCAAGGAGGCTTGCATTATCTCTGTGAATATTCTTAGGGAATGAAATAGCAGGAGGTGTGAACTTTCTTCTGTTTATCTTAATGGTCCGCTAATGGCAAAGCATAATTACAGTTACTTAAGTGCCAAGTTTATCAAGATTTTCACTAACATCTCCAGCCACCGCGCTTTCCTGGACTGACCCAGCTTTTATTTACCCAATCGCGTTACCATCATTTGAAAGAAAACTGCCCTCCATAAAAACAAGCAAGCAAACAAAAGCCCACTCCGCAGCCGGGTTTAATTTCTTTCAATTATTTTACTTGGGCAGTTAAGACACTTGTGACTCCAAAAAAAAGTCGAAAAAATATATATATATGGGATCAGTAACTGAAATTTTAGCCTTCCCACCTTCAAAAAGCAGGGCTATGGGGGAGTTTTGTAGTAGTTTGCTTCATGGCTTTGGGAAATCAGTTTGCTTCTAAACCAGAAGGTGGTCTTCCCAAGACCATCCTATATTTGGGATGGAAACTTGGGCATTGTACCTTCCCCCCAGTGCACCCACATGAGCAGCCCGAGAACCACCTATCTCCCCATCGGTCTCCGGATCTCCTCGCTGCCTTTGTCCCTTCTAGACGTGGAGGCTTGGAGAGGAGGTTTGGTTTCCAAGGATTGGAGCGTTTGAAGGGCGGGGCCATCTCCAAGTCCATCTCCCCTTTTTTGTCCTCTCCTCCTGGGACGGGAGGGAGGAGCCAGGTCCCCCCGCGGCCCGGCCGGGTCGGGAGCTCTCTATTTCGGTCGCTCGAGGTGAGTGTGAAAGGGCGGCAGCCCGTTTCATTGCAGCGCAGGTTAATTTCTGGAGTTCACCGCGGTCAGTGCGCCCGCCGCTTCCCGGGCTTTGCCAAGAGGGTTTATGAGGTCGGAGGCGTGTTGGGGCGCGCTCACGTTTTCGCGAAAGGCTCCTCCCCAGGGTTCATTCCCCGACTGCGGGAAGTCCTCCGGTGCCCCGGGAGCCTCGGGTTTCCTCTGACCTCGTCGCTTCTTCCTCCCTCCCCTACGCTTGGTTCCCTGCCCCCCCTCCCCGCCCCTGGGGAAGGGCGGCCCCCATCTTAGGATTTCCGACCCAAGCCAACCCAGAAGGTACCTCCACGTCGATGAAGATTTTTATCACCACCTCCCAAAACCAGCAGTCCTAGGAGCTTTCAACCTGAAATACGATTGTTATTTTTTCCCGTGCCGGGCTTTGACAGAAAAAAAGTCAGCTTTTTATTAAAGACAAAGAAGTAAATTATCAGCCGGGGCACGGAAAGGGACGGCGGAGACCCGGCGCGTTTCTTCTCGCGGCCACGAGGAATTTATGGGGGAGCGGCGGCCGGCGCTCAGACACCCCTGGGGTCCCGCGGGGGAGGAGCTCGGGACCGAAGGGCTTCCCCAAGTCCCCGCAGGCACCTGGAGGGAGAGTCCTCCCAGGTCTGCACAAAGCCGGGATCCTCTCAGCCCTGAACAGCCTCGCCGTCCTCCGCTCTCCTTTCTTTCCTCTTCTCTTTCTTTCCACTCCCGTCTCCCTCTCGCCTCGGCGCTTTCTCCTCCCTGTTCCCCTCACCTACTTTTTCCCTGGCTTCTCCTCCCCCTGCCCCCTCCTTTCTTCTCCGCCGCACGCGTAGAGTGTCATTTATTTATTTATTTATCACCCCCGCCATCAACACCCTTTTAGGGCTTCCAAGCTTTTCAATGCGAGTGGGAGGAGAAAAGGGCAGGAAGTGTTGACTCGAAGGGGGGTGAAATCGTGCCTCTGGGTGAGAGATTCTGCCCCAGAATAAACGATGGGGGAATGTCTAGGAAAAGGAGGATTCAGATCTGTTTATGAAACCCCGCTTTCCGACAGCGAGCAACTCCGCGCGCGTCTCCTCCTCCTCCCCCTTTATTGTATGGGTTTATGGACACATCTTCCTGGACTGTTGTGTGGAAGGGGGAGGAGTGAGTATTTAGAGAGGGCAATCTCGCCCTGGATCCTCACCACCGCGCCTTCTCCACCGGATGCGCGCTCCCCAATGCGAAGGAATCCAGCAACATCCCCCAATTCAGCCGCGGACAAAAGAAACTTTAATTAAGGTCTCTGCCCCGCGCGCTGCGTATTTTCTCTCCGCCCCCCCCCCCCCCCGGCTGTTGATGTCCAACTCGAGGATGCGAGAAATAGAAATGGCACAACCAACCCATGCCCTTGAACTTCAATTGCTCCTGACTTGCTGTATTGATTTTTATACTGTAGGCACCCTCCCCACCCCCCCACCCCGTGCGCGCTCCCCCCCCCCCATTAAATTAAAGCCGTAGGAGATGCCCCACCTGGTTGGGGGTGGGGACCCACTCTTTTGCAAAAGGGATAGGTCAGAATGATTTAGGAAAAATTACACCACATAAAAAAATCAAGGTGTGAAAGCTTCCTTCTTGGCTCTCTTGTCTTCAACACCACGACACCTTATCATTAGGAGCGCTGATTGTTACTTTCCGAGCCTTAGATGATCGGCCAGAAAGTGCAAACAACGCGGGGCTGGAGGGTGTAAAGTTATTTAAGTAGGCTTTTTTTTTTTTCTTTTGGTGCGCCGTCAAAACATTTCACAAGTTAGGGAAAGAAAGTGGTGGTTCCGAGGCTTGGGATGATAGGTTCTCTCCCTTCCCCATCCCCCTTTCCATATCAAAAAAGAAATAAAATGCACAATGAGCCTTTATTTCGGGAGAGAAGTCTTCAAAATACGTGCCAGTAATGGACAATTTGAGCTTTTCACTGGAGATACACCGCAAGCTGGAAAGGGATTAAAAAGCCCCACGTGGTTGATCTGGATTTAGACTTGCAACCTCTAGTTCCCCATGTCTGTTCTGTGCAAAGATTGGCCTCTAGATGGATGCGTGTGAGGGTCTCTCTGGGCCCTGGGCTCGGCCTCTGGGGCAGGGCTGATGGTGGGAACCTGGGGAGCCACGGGACAGGGTCCTCACGGGGGGCTTCCTCTGCTGGCCGGGGCGGCCGGGCGCCTTCGGGACGCGAGCGCGCACGTCTCAGCCCGGCCGCCGCGCTCCTCGCACCGCCTTCTCCGCAGGTCTTTATTCATCTCATCTCCCTCTTCCCCTTCTCCTCCTCCTTTGCCTCCTTCTCCTCCTCTTCCTCCTCCTCCTCTACCACCACCACCACCACCACCTCCTTCTCCGCCGCCGCCACCTCCTCCTCTTGCATCTCACTGGCCTGGCTCGGTGTTGCTCTAAGTGACAAAGACAATGTCCCAGCCTTAACTTTGCAACCACCTTGCCTCCTTCTGGGGTTCAGCAGAGGGGAGGGGGACAGCAGCCGCAGCCTCAGCATCTCCTCCAGCTTCTCCTTCTGCTCTTCTCCAGCTCTTGGATAAAATTCTTCCCTTTTATGCCCCCTGCCCATTTCCTCGTTTCTTTCTTTCTTTCTCTGTTCTTCCTCTCTCCTGCACGGTGTTGTTATTAGAAAGGCTTCGCGCACCCCCTGGTGCTCCGGCGTTTTGTGTGGCAGGAGAAGATTGTCTTCCTTCTCTCTTTCTGTCTTGCTTTCTCTCTCCCTCTGGTTGCTCATTATTCAGAGAGAGACACAGAGGGAGGGAGAGAGAGGGAGCGCGCGCGAGAGGGAGGAGAGGAGAGAGAAGAGGAGAGGGGAGAGAGAGTGAGAGGGAGAGGGAGGGAGGGAGGGAGGGAGAGGGAGAGAGAGACGGATATCTCAGGTCATCTGCAGCTGCAGAGTCTGAGGAGCCGAGGAAGGCAGGGAAGATGGCGATCCTCCATTGCTGAGACCCGGCAGAAGCACATGAGACTCCCAAACAACTTCCACAACAATAACCCGAGCAGGAAGAGGAGAAAGAGAAAGAGGATAAGGAGGCGGTGGGGCCGGAGAACCCGAAACACCTCCCGGCGCCGGGACGCTTCTTCTGTAAGTTATTGCAATTAACCGACACCTCGGGGTGGTCCGGGTGCTCCCGGGAGGAGAGCGCGGGGTGGTGGACGCACAAACGCGCTCATTCATTCGGCCGAGGAGGGTTGGTGGAGCGGGAGGAGAGGAAGTCCCCTGCATGGACTGGCAGTTGGGAGAGAAGAAGCGAGAGAGAGAAGAGGAGGAGGGGGAGGAGGGAGAGTGAGAGGGGGAGGAGGAAGAGGAGGAGGAGAAGCGAGGGAGGAAGAGGAGGAGGAAGAGGTGGAGAAGGTGGTGGTGGTGGTGGCAGTGGCAGCGAGGTGGCTGTGCTTTTCCTGCTGGCTGCTCTTCTGCTGGGGGCAGCGGAGCGCTGTGGCTTAATTAATTTCGTGTAGTTCTATGGAGAGAAGAGAAAATGAAAGATGAGTGAGAAGAGAGCTGGAGGCTTAGGACCGATGCTCCGAGCGTGGGGACAGGAGTAGGGACAGAGAGGGGGGTGGAGAGCGGGAGGCGACCTCAGCCAAGAGCCAGAGGGAGCTAGCAAGGGGCAGAGGAGGGAGCGCTCCGAGCCGCCCCGACCTGAGCCGGTTGACCTCTTTCTTTCTCTGTCCCCCTCCTTCCTTGCCCCCTCTCTGTCTGCCTGTCCCCAGCCCGATGGCAAACCCGTGCGGATTGGCACCCCCCCTCTTCCTCAGGTATTTGGCTCTCTCTCTCTCTGTCTCCGAAGTTGGGATGCGGGGTCGGGATATGTCCGGGGGGGTGGCTGCTGCTGCTGCTGCTGCTGGTGGTGCTGCTGGTGAGGACAGAGGCCAGGAGCGGGGGGCACCGGCCGGGTGGGGGGCGCAGGTCCAGGAGCAGCTGAGGAGCTATCTCCAGGCTGGGGGTTCAGAAGCGTCTGGTGGAAGAGGACAACGGTTTCAGGAGAGGAGAAGCCATTACATACGCTTGGCTCTCCTGGGGAAGGGAGAAAAGAAAGCAGGGGCCTGGGGGTCTTCTCACTCCTGGTGCAGTTCCCAGGGGTCTGCCCTCCTTCCAGGCATGAGGGGAAGCCACAGCCGCCCCCCCATTGGAGCAGCCCCTCTCTTTCCCTTTCTTTATCTCCCTTGTCCTCCATTTGCAAGCTGTCTGCTTTGGTTCCAGTCCAGACTCCAAAACACAAAGCTCCTTCTCACGTTCATTCTCCAGGCTTTTCACCATTCCTGAAGGAACCCTCATTTTCTTTTCATTGTAGCTTCTAACCTACAGGGAGGGAGGGAGGCTGCCTGGAGTTCCTTTCATATTCCTCCCCTACCAAAAAAAAAAAAAAAGTTTCATTTTTAAGCACGCGCCTGGGATGGGAAAAGACCAACCAGTTGGGGCTTTCTCCCAGGGTTGGGGGGGGGGGGGGAGCCGTGCCTGAGTGTCTGTGTTGGCTGTTTGGTTTGCTTTGGTTTTGTTTCTGGAGGTGGCTTGCAGGTTTTGGAGGAAGTGACTAGTTTGGTTGAGAGCTGGGAACTGAGTCAGGTAAGCCCTGTCATGTTGTAACTCCACCAGAAAATGGAGGAGAGCGAGTTTCCAGGAGACAAAGCTGAGATGAGAAGTGTTTATAGAATTATGGATGTTTCCATTTTGAAGCTCTGTTGGTGATGGCTGGAGGAGGAGGCTTGCCTGCCTACTCCTTCTCCCTTTCCTGGGGGAAGTCTTGTGGTGGTTCCTCACTGTCTATTCATTATACAAGGAAATGAGGGGCTTTTAAGGGCTGCTCAGATTTTTCTCCCACCAAAGGAGTGCTTTCACAAGTTATTGAGATGTTTGTTTCCATTTTAAAGTAAACTTTTGGATTTTTTTTTTTCACCTTTTGAGTGGACCTGAAGGGTTTTGACCTCCTTCAGGAAAGGCAAGGCAAAAT